TCACTTGTGAATACATCATTGAAGAGCCGCAAATAATTTTTCTGTATACTATACCTATGTGTGTCTCTCTTCCATCATACAATTCCACATCAGCAAAAATATCGCTTTCGACGACAATTCAGGAATGTGATCATTTTTCATTAGCATCGGAACATATGATCGTTTCACAAAATAATACATTTTCGTAGCAATTATCAACATTCATTGGACACATCGCAAGTGAAATTTTGCATAGTATCAAAAACGAAGTTCTTTGTTTTTAGAAAAAAAATTGGAATATTCAAGATAAAGTTGAAATTTGTAAATAATAAACAATGTTTTATATTGCTTTGAGTCATATTCTTTTCTTAATAGAAACGAGAAAGTGCTACGAATTTATTTTCGCATTTACAAAGTAATGAGATGAGCGTCAAGCTGAACAAAACAAGCGAAAGCAATTTTTATATTTAGTCGTTTCAATAGTCATAGTTTCTATTATCATTTTATTATCGTTAAAATGCTACACACAGCTAGTAAATGCTTATTTCGAACCGTTTCCTACGGATGTAAATGAATTTGTCCAGCTTGCTTGTGCATTTACTCAAAGTCGAACAAGTTTTCTATTCACTTCTTGGAATGAATTTTACTATTTTATCTATCATAAAATTTATCTTCAAGTCGAATTTGATCAAGATAGTGTGGAATATAAACCTAAGTATCCACCTCACATATATGAGAATTCAAAAACTCGAACTGGAATTCATGTACTTCATGTTAATGTCACCATGGTGTTTTTTTCCTGATCGAGTATTCATCAAAATGTCAGCATATCCGATTCGATTTTCAGCATTCAGTGTCAAAACGCTCCGTTGTATTGTGCGAAAACTTGGCTTACCTTCGACCACCTATATGAAATGGTCCGAGAAGAAAGATTATGAATCAACGATTCAAAAGTATTATAACCAAGGACTTTGAACATTTCAATGAAGTTGTTCTCGTACGTTGCGGTATATTCATAAGTTTCTTCGTGCAATCGAAATCTCATATTGAGAAAGTTTACAATTCGATGCGATCAACTGCATCATGGGTTCGAATTTCAACCGTACAATGTTGCATTCGATGTCACTCGACACTATCGAGAGCGTATGCGTCATTTGATTGTTGTGCATAAGAAAACTGACTTGAGAATTGGACTCTGTGTTCAAGAGTTATACTGTCGTTATTTATTGGTCTCGTTCCAGATGAAAGAATTGATAGATTAAATAAAGTTGTCGTAAAAGAACCTAAATTTAATCGATAGAAATAATATCAGCGCTATTTGTTGAATAGAAAATCAAATTGCTCTGTTGTTTTTTTATCAACACTTCATGAAAAATTGTTCTATGAATCATCATCTAGATTGAAAAAAAGATCTGTTACTTACAAGCTAATGAATCTTTGTCGATAAAAAAAAAAGTGAAAGTAATCATCATGATTTGACATGAACTCCAAAGTTTCGTTTCGTTTGCATTATTCTTAGTTTTCGTTGTACTGATTACTTTTTCTACTGAAATTTTTTCTTTTACAAAGAAAATCAATAGATACTCTTGAGTTCTGTCTAACGCTACCAAGCTTTCACGACCTAATGTCTCTAGGAGTCACTCTCCGATAACAACATCTATTTGTTTTGTTAAAAAAGCATTTTGTTTTTGTTCATACAAAATCGTATTTAATTTTTTGAGCGATTTGTGCATATCAACTGATAGCTTCTATCGGGATCTCTCCGATGCACTCAACTGTGCCGTTTAAAAATACACTTTATAGCTGCTAATTTTAAAATAAATATGAATTTTTTATTTTATTTAATTCCCAAACAAGTATAATGGTAAGAGTTAATTTTAGGAAATAGCGATCTTTTTAAATTTAGATTGATTCCTGAAACAAGTAAAAGAGTAAAAATTGGTTTAAATATGAGAGGAAGTCGCGATAGAAAGTCATCTATCTCTTCAATGAGAAAAACCTCATGTAAATATGATAGCAAGCGATAGTATACGATCGTCGTAACAAAGCACCTAGGCAGCGTTCGTTTAGAATGAGAACATTCTCATTGGATGCATCAATTTTTCTAATAACTATAACACTTGAAAACAGAATATTACTACTAGTCCTTCGATTATGAATTATTCTTATTTGAATGAATATTTATACATATATCTATAATCCATTTCATAATAGAAAAATGTTGAATATTTTGTAAATTTAATCGAAACAAGATAAAATTCAGACAATAGGCAGGACTATATTGAAGATAAGATTATGAAAATTTTATAATTGTGAGAAAACCGTGAAACGTATTCTGACGTTATCGTCTAGAATAAAATCTCTAAATAAGTGAGTCAAATAATGATGGTTAGTCAGAATTAAAATGTTACACCCAGGCGAGCAAAAACAGAGGTAGGACGGGCAACATGTCTAGTCTGAAACGTCAGTATTACTCGTCATGTCTAGTCCAAAATATTTTGTTTGAGAGTCCAGTCTAGTTTGTTCCCAATGAAACGTCGTACTTTATATCTGAACTAGTCAGCAATTTCTGGAAATCACGTCCAGACTAGTCTAATGCATCTTGAGCCGTAGTCATGTCTAATATATTGTACATAAAATGACATGCGTCAACATTTGAATTAGTCTAAAATTTATAGAAGTCATTCTATGTCAAGTGGAGAACGTCTTTCTCACCAGTCAAGTCTAATCTATTCATATTGTCCAGACTCGTCAATAAAACAAAAAAAAACAGAACGATAGATGGATTCGAACGTTTGATCAGACAATATTGAGGACCTGACTAGTCTGGACTATTTCCAATAGTGACGCAGACAGTATGAATCGTCATTTGTATTATTCATGACTAGTCCATATTTGAGAAGCTAGTACTGATCCTCATCCAGACTAGTCTAAACTCTTCAAAATGTCCTGTTTGCTTCGACCTTATTTTCCAGACAACTTTCTTAGACTAGTTCGTATCGAAACTAGAAAGACATGTTGAGGCACAAGAAAGCAAATAGAATTGCAAAGCAGGTGTTTACGTCTTCACTAGAATTGCCTATTTACATTATATAAAACTTCTAAATTGCAAAAGGAATTAAGAATAATTATATTCGAAAAACAATTTTTATATTTTTATGTGAGAATTATATTTTATTTTTAGCATCAATTCTGACAATTTGAATTTAAAGATAAATTTAAATTAAATAATTTTAGTTTATTTTAAACTTGAAATCGAAAAAATTAAACTAAAATAAATAGAAATCATCATATGGAAAAATATTTTTTTAATTTGCATTATTTTTAATTTGTTTCCCAATTTTAATTGTTTTCCAATACAGAATAATTTTTCTGAAATACTGAATATCAAAAATTTTTTGTTTAAGTTCCGAATTAATTTTATTCAGGCTTATTTAAATAATTTTGAATTTTATGATAAATATTTTTTATTTATATCATAACTTGAAAAAGTCTGAGTAAAACTGTATTAAACAGCATTCGGAATATGTACTGACATATAAGAGTTGATTACTCGATGATATAGTTCAATCGATTAAACGATGGATAAGTTACATATTGTATGCATATTCGAATCCATCCTTCTGCTTATATTTCTATAAACTAGACTAGTCCGGAGTAGACTAGTACATAAGACTATAATTTGTTACATGCAGCGCCACAAACACCCCTCCTTTTTCGATTTAAAATCTATTATGGACGGGCATCCGAACGGCACAACATGTCTAGTCTTTTTTGCGAAAATGACTACACATAACAAATAGAATGATGCCAGTCAGTTACCTAGTCAGGACGGGATATAAAGACTCCAAATGATTTCGGACTAGTTATGTAGTAGGACTTTTTGAGAAAAAGACCAGACCAGACGTATAGTCATGACTAGAGAAATGACTAATCTTTTTACCCGTCCTTTGCTCGCCTGGGACAGCAACATTATTTTGTCTTCGCGCGTTCACTTCTAATTCGTCTTTCTTTTCGTTTATTCTATTCTGTCTACTCTCTCCATATATAAAGCAAACATGTGGCAACCATTTTCTTCCAAAAAAAGAGGTGCTTCTTGAATCAATCATTTTCAAATGTCAAGAAGCATGTTTTTTTTTGGCATTAGAAAAGTTTATAATTTACGTTTTTAAGGTTTCAACAACACCTTATTTATTTTCGAACATACAAAAATTTTAAACTCATTATGTTAATGACAACGAATAATAACGAAAAAATTTGATGAAAATTATTGATATAATCATTGCGAAATATTAGATCATAATATAAAAACAAAATTCAATGGACGAACAAACAAAATAGTTTGCAAAAAGAATAAACTAAAACAAGTAAAACATTGAAGCAAAGGAATAAAAGACACGCTACAGTCGTGAAATGAATAATTGTGCACATTATCTTTTTGCATTTTTTTTTAATGGAAAATAATCTTCAAATAGAAAGTAGTTCATATATTATAACAAGATGTTATTGATATACGGTCAGTGGTCTATTCAGATTTTTTTCTTCTGGAAGAACCAACGCGATCTTCGGAAGGATGTCGTCCTCTCGATCCTAACTCTGTATACAGTCTGTGATCGTATATCAACAATGTCTATGGTAAGTCGCCTGTCACGATCGGTAACATTTCTATGATTGTGAGTGTCACGTCTATGATGAGCCCGTTTCTAAAGTATCTGTTCGGGATTGCAAATTTCTATCCTGTATACGATCACGTTTTACGAAACAAATAAAATACAGATATATTTTCAAATGACCGTCAACAATTTCATAATGAATTATAGTATAAAATGAAATTTTCTATTTGCAATTAGTTTTGTATTGATTCAAACACTGAACAAAGTTAATTTAAATAGTTTTTTTTGATTTCTTTTGATCAATTTGTTCTTTGTTTCAAAAATGAATTTCTTTTCTTCTCTTGTAAGACAAAAAAAAAAAAAAGGAATAAACATTTTTTATTCTAATTCGTTTTATTATTGACATGATTAAGTAGAAGACAAATGAACAGTACGAGAAAGTAAATTTTCAATATATGTTTGTTGTTCAAGTAATAGATTTTTGTTTCGTGTTTTAGTTAATTCAATTATATCTTCAAATGCTTCTTTAATTTGTTGACAATCAATTAATGAATCAAGTTCATCTAATGATATTTGACAATTTATTAAATATTTATCTTCATTATTATTATTATTATTATCAATTATATTTTGTACGAATAATTTTAAATATTCAATAAAACGATGAGATAAATTTAATATAATTTCATCATCATCAATCCAATGTACTCGTTTACCACTATTACGTGATATTGATGAATTTGTTTGAGTTATTTCATTACTATCAAAATTATATGGTTGTATTTCATCAGTATTTGTTGAAGAGATAACTGAAATTCAATTTTTAATTAAAATAATAATAACAAGAAAATAAAACCTGTTCGATGTTCATTTGATTTTGTTCGTTTTAAAAAGTTACTTAGTTTTCGTCGCCATGTATTATGTGTGCGTCGTGATGATGGTGATGATGCATGAGATGACGAGAGAACAATTTTCTCGTTATTATCTGTCTTATAATCCAGACTTGATTGTTGTTCAGATGATGGCCAAGTAATAACTCCATTAGTATCCTTATATCCTGATACGATTGGAGGCCATATTGAATTATCAGCAAATGGTGTTGGTGGTCGAATAGGACAATCAAGATATCCATAATAACCAGGACAGGTTGTTAAATCTATAGAAATGAAGAAGTTTTATTAAGTTGTTTTTCAAAATAATAATATATCTTTATGACCTAAATAAATGATAAACTTTTCTTTTTTCGATTATTTCACTGTGTTTTTATCGTTTGACTCGTATCTATACTCAAAATACAATTTTGAAGACTTAATTGATTCTGAAAGTTTCAGTCTTCTTGAATGAAAATTCTTTGATTAAAGAATAAATATCTTTCAATATACTCATGTTGCAATGAAATCAAAAGTGATTGTCTTCTTGCTAAATTGTGATTTTTGTTTTTGTTCTAAGCAAGAAATTTAATTCCCTCGCGAAGTATTGATATCATCGAAAAAAAAAAAAGCTCGGGAAGAAAATAACAAAATTTTATTTTGACTGTTGCTTATGTATGTTGAAGTAATCGTATTTTTTTCAAATGCATTTGCATTCAATAGGGCTGAAACTTTTCGAATAGATTAAGAAGTCAAAGATGTATCTAGGCATAAATATGAGATTAAGCAACATAGGTAGAAAGAAATCATCGAAAAAAAAAAAGAATAAAGTGTACTCTTTATTTGACCAGGGGTAATATATATATAAATTTCAGTTCTTTTTTTTTTTTTCTATTTGGTTTCTTCTCTATGTAAATATTTACTTGTTAAGGCTATTCAATACATACAATTGTAACATTGTATTTTATTGAGATGTCTACTATAACGTTAAAATATTAAATCAAAATTTTTTATTTTCAAAAGAAATCAAATAAAATAATTATCAAATTTAATTCATTATAAAACTATACAAATATTTTTCTTTTTGATCTCTTTTTTATCAAAATAAAATAAAATAATAACATAATCTTAATTCTTTTGCATGAAGAAAAAAAAAACAAAAATTTTGATTTCTTTTTTATTTGCAAATCAATTAATTAAAAACAAAAATTTCATTTAAAATATCATTTTTTTTAAAAAAAAATGTACCTACCAATTACATCTGGTTCATCGTCATCATTTCTTGTCGGTATCATTTCTCCCTCATACATTTAAAGAAATAAAAAGAGACTGAATGCATATATGTAAATATATATATATATATATACCCATAGATATTCGATCATACAATAACAAATAGTTACCTGTATGGGTAATATTGATCACGGTTCGATAGAGAACAGGTTACAACGATAGTTTTAACGTGAATGACGAATACGAGAGGATGTCAAATTTAAAACAATTTTTTTTTTCTTGTTCATTAATATTAACAACTATAATTGAAATTTGTATTTAAAAAAAAAGAAATCGGAAAAATACTCTAGTGTATTGAACAAATAAATGATTATCTAGTGTTATTTTATACGGAGATATACAGTGACTGTTAAACTTATCCGACCAATAGATTATTTTATTTTGCGTATATTTCAAAAACTAGATGAATTAAAATGATTTGGTTTTCGTTAGATTCATTTAATAAAAAAATTCTACGTAAACCTATTAATTTATTTTGTTTTTTTATTGACAATACACAGTCACAGCATGTCGCTTTTCATCCTTTCAAAATTATTTAACTACTTGTTTTTGCAAACTATTTGTGACCTTATTCTAGGTAGAAATTTTCTTTTTTTTTATCGTGCAGATTTCAATAGAACAAATTGCACTCGATATAAGGGATACTGTTTATTGCAGATTTCCTTTGAGTCAGGATTGGAAAAATCGATATTTTTCGACTCATATCGGAAATTTTGAACCAGAAAAGACGAGAATAGATTTCTTTTTTATATGATGTTTAGATAAATTTTATTATTCAATATATCCATTAGTAGAAGCATTACAAATTGCATGAATTAAATAGATTACAATCTAGAGATCGAACTCGAAGTAGTTTTCAAAAATATAGTCGAATACAGTCAAACTTTAAATTGAAAATAATTGATTGAACTATAATCGATCTTGTAAAAATTATGCAACACAATTCTTTTATATTTTTCTCTTTTAAATTTCTCCATTTTCCGGTATTGTAATGAATAATCATCTGAGATTATGTATTAACACTAAAAAAGAAAAAATTAGTGATACTTGCGTATTAATATTAAAAACTGTATTTTAATCCACAAATGTATTCGACAACGAACATCAACTCTAGTGTGACGTTCTAATCGTCCAAGAAGAACATTCTAACCTATCGTCTACTTCTAATTAGGACTACTGAAATCGAACCACTAACGGCGGGTAGAACGTATAGACTGAGCCTCACTCAAATTTGACACTATTAGGTTCAACATCACCCGAATTATGAATTTGAGATTTGGTCACATGCGAGTTTAGCTTTATTTGATAAGACGAGCCTTATTTTAGTACGGAAATTGATGCCTCTAATAAGTTTATTTATATGTTGTGATGAAGAAAACTCACTGACTGTGTTGTCATGGCTCATAGCATCACCTTTTATCTTATTTACACAAAATATTGTGTAAACTAAATGAATTGTAGAATTATGTGATTGACAGGCATCAAAACTAGCTATATTCAAGGATCTTGGTATGAGTGGGTGAGTGACTCTATGTGTAGTCTTCATCTAAACCCACATCCACGTTCAATGTACCTCATGCTGATATGTAAGAAGTCATTTTAGGATAACAAATAAACTTCCACTGAGCTTCATCCAATTTCAAAACGTTTCACCGCTCGTGGTATCACAGACGGTGCGTACAAATCTTGGTTATGATGCCGGTAGTCGAACAATCGAATATTTATTAAAATATCAGAATATATTAGTTTCTTGGATGAAAGAAACCATTCTACTGCATAATGATAAACGGCTATCTTGGAATGCGATTAATAATGACATTTCTTAGATTAAAACTCATTTTGATTCTTGTGATAAATGTGAACCTGAAATTTTTTTTTCTTCATTAGACAATCACTTTATGACTCTATTATGCAATCTTCATATAGATTTAACCGAATAAATGGCAATTCCCAAGAATCTTTCATAACTAAACGAACTGCATCTATAAGAAAAATACAGAAAATGAAATTAACACCGTTTCGTGAAAATCTTACTTGTGATAGTATATGTCAAGGATAATCATCCTGATAAAAGAAAACATCTATTTACTAAAAAGAATTATCTATTCTGAACGCAAACATTATAATCATTGCAATTGATTTCTTATCGTTGATTTTTTATTTTTATCTTTCTATATACAAATAAAAAAAAACCATCTTTTCATTACATTGGATCAGGACTAGCAGCACTATCGCTGATTGTAATAACATTTGCTGTTGATGTATATTGATCAATAAATGATTTGATATACGAACTGACTTGTTGGCCTAATAATTCATTCTAAAAAGAACAAAAAATTCAAAATTATAAATCTTAGAATGTCATTAAAAAAATTTGAAAACTTTAGGATAAACTCTACGACACTAATTGAGTCAATTGAAAATAATTAAATAAGAATTAACCATGAGTTTTTGAATTTTGATCCAGTAACAGATGGATATTCCCTATGTAATACTTTTATGAAATACGATCTAAATGGAAATCTGTAGATATTGATTTTGTTACAAATTATTAGCCATTTCAAAATAGAAGAGTAGTGAGTATTTTTTGAATAACTTCTGATAGAAATAAGATAGAGACCTGCGATCTTCATCGTTGAAAAGAGGAGATAAAGATGCATCGAATCATATATTACAGATTTTACTGCCAAGTGTTTTGAGAGTTTCTATTGAATTTTTTCAAAAAAAATGTGTACGTTCAGGCTCGATTGGTACATGAAATGTTCATAAAAATGTAGCAAAAAACTGGCATTTTCGGCTAATTTTTTCGAAAAACCAGGTAGAAGCCTACAGAAAAATGGCTTTAACTCCTGAACGTTACAAATTAAAAACTTAAGCCTTGCGTAATTCTGTAGATCTGCGATTGGCGGTTCTGATGCATTCCTAAAAATCGAAAATTTCCTATGGTTACTAAGCGCGGTACATTGGTTTACCAACACCTCGATTAAAAACACTCAATGAAACTTCCCAAAAAAGTTTGTAATATATGATTCGATGCATTTTCATCTCCTCTTCCCAATAGTAAAAACCGCAGGTTCGCATCTTCTTTCTATCGAAAGTTACTAGAAAAATACTCACTACTCTTCTATTTTGAAATAAATAATAGTTTTTCTTATAACAATAATCATTCTGTCACAAAATCAAAGTCCGCATTTCTCTATAACATTGCAGAATGATGGTAGAGAAATATATCGCAAAATCGATAGAATAAAACAATTTCCTCTGTGATTAGCAACAATAGCTACATCGTATTTCACATGTTAATGCCACAGAGAATGTGTTAACAGGTTTTTTTTTTGTCTCACATGTAAGGAAATTTTTTAACACAAAAAAAAAAATTGTATATATTTTAACATACATTAAGTGTCCAAGCAATATCAATATCTCCATTTGATTCGATTGATACACGCAATTGTTGATTATCAATATGTAGAAGATTATCAGATATAAGTATAATACGATGTTTTATTTCATTATCATTACTATTTAATTTTCGTTCGAGTAATTCAATTAAAGAAATTAATTGAATAGGACGAATATTAGTTGTTGATGAAAAACGTGAATGAAATTGAACTGCATGATGAACAAGACCTAATTCATTCATAGCTGTTGATGGTCGAACAAGACGAAGACGCTAAAAAAAAACAAAAGATTTCATTTCACATAAGTATTACAACAACAAAAAAAAATAATCTATATGACTTACACCATCTTTAATGATTAATGTACCTCGCATTTGTTTTGTTCGTTTTTCCGATCGATTAACATCAGCAGTTTCTTCTGAAGAAATATTGTTATAAAAAAAAAATTATTTTTCCGAAATCTATAAAATTACCTTTCAATTGTTGTACAAGTCCTGGTTCAATATCAACTGGTACACCATGTGGTGTTTGAATGATTATTGTTTCACCATTAGCTGGTTTGAAACAAGGAATTTCTATATATATATATTTTAATGTTTTTTAATATTAGAAAAAAAAAACCGATTTCTATATTATATGTACTTAATTCATCTTGAACTCGACCACGAAGAAAATCCATTACTAAATCTTCACCATGAACTAAAACAACATTACTCGGTTGACATTGACGAATAAGTTGTGTTATGCCTTTAGCATCAGCATGAGCTGAAAATGACATATAATGAACTTGCATTTTAGCTTCAATTTCTTTTCCATCAAATAGAAAACGTCGTTGACCAAGTAATAATTTTGAACCAACAGTATTAGCAACACAATAACCAGGAATAATAATCTATAAATAAATAAATAATATTATCAAGATTAATAAATAAATATTCAAAACAAAACAAACCATATTTTTTTCATCTGGTGCCCATTTTTTAAATAAATGAAGTGAATAACCAGCATGAAGCATTCCAGGTGAAGCAAATACAATCATTGCACCTGGTTGTTCTACATAAGATCGATCCCATGGCTTAAAATACAAAAAACAAAAATAAACATTTGTTTTCAGAGAAGAAAAAAAAATCTATTTTAAATATAAATTAAATAATTAACACACTGAAAGTGATTAGATTCTATACGATTTATTGAAAACATATTTCTAGGAAATACAGCTAAAAAGATCAAGGATCTCTAGTAGAGACCTGTGCAGTCAAATTTTTTTATTCCGAAATCTGACTCCGACATTTTTTTCTCGAAAGCAGACGACCTCTAATATATTTTATGGTTTAATTTTGAATTTCATTTTCGTTTGTTGAGCAGTGAAAATAAAAAAAAACAATAACTAGGAAATATTCAACATGTACTATGCCCAAGCAATAGAGTTCTGCATGCAGTCGTCGTCAGAGTTAACTAAATTTTATACTAAAAATTTCACTTTAGCACATAAAATTTTTTGGAATTGTAGATTTTGTTCTCTGATATTTACTGTATAAATTGATGCGCTTTGGAGATTTCAACGATGTGTTATTAAAACCTATGAACATGAAAGAATGTGTGCAGGACTCTATCAA